TCCTACCATAACAGTACATCCACCACGTGACTAAAAACTTCGTGATTGATAACGCGACGTTTGGGGTCACGCACTGATTTCTAGTTTTGTTTTTACTCTTCAGTACCTACAGTCCGTCCCGATTAGTCTCCTTTAGTCGTTGACGGATAGGGCGCAAGCAATTAAAATCAAGCGCGGGCCTCTCTGATTTCAAGGGAGCACCGCTTTCTCAGCCGGCACGACGCCGGCGGTAGCAGACAGGCACCGTCTCGCTCGGCCAACCTCCTGTCACATCCTGCCTTAGTCTCCTTATGATTCTGTAAGAAAACTCCGCAAGATCTCCATGATTACGAGATGCTGTACTTGATACAGAAACAGACATTTCCGTCGGACACTCGACACTGGGGCTTACGTCTCAACCTTTGGGAGAACTGTCGCTTGTCCGAATCACCATTAGCACGGTGCTCTGGTATCGATTAAATGCCATTGTGTAGCGTACATCCCGAGACGATCAGATATCGGCTGATTATCACGCATTTTGCATATTAGTGGTTTACTGACATCCGCGTTTCCAAAACAGAGACTACTTTTATTTCCATGGGTGTGGGAGAAATGAAGAAACTTGACAACAGTCGTTCTGTACCAAAAACAATCTTTAAATAACCGTAGTTTAACCAGTAGTGAGACGAAAACGTCTACTAAAATTGTGAAGCTGCTTTATTGATCTTCGAATTTTTCTCATCACGTTAAACGTAAGTGATATCTAATACGGGCGATTCACAATAGTGCGCCTCGAAGAGTTTGCAACGCGTTGGCCAATCACAATGCGCGAAATTTGTCGACCTGATGCGCCTTTGGAAAGGGTCGACAAATTCCGCGCGCTGTGATTGGCCAACACCTTTCCAAACGCGCATCGGGTCGATAAGTGGTGAACGATTGCATTTACGTTAAACCAAAGTGGATGACAATGAAAACCACAGCGAAGACAATAATCCAGCACAGCTGAGCGACATGCTTCGGCAGGAACGGGATTTCCCGCGTGAACAATGGCCATCTATCCGCCTCGAGCAGAAGCACCCCCTCATCGGTTCAACAGAGCCAAATGGGTCGGGAGTGGCCATTTTGTTGGTATAGCGATGCCACCGCAATGCGTGCAGTTCATAGTCGGTCGTGAAAAAGTTCAGTTCCGACCAAAAGAGCCTCCGTTGATGAGAAAATTGCCCCCTCTCTTGGTTTTAGCTCGAGGCTCATTACATGTTATAAATTTAGGCATGTAATATAATATTATATTATGGTATATATATATATATATATATATATATATATAAATCATATACAAGTTTTCTTTAAAAAGTAATCCAGCATTCACCAATAGGCCCCTCAATGCATACAATTCCATTTTCATTTCAAAATTTTTGTCCAAGATTTTGAAAGAAAATATGCTAATGAAAAGGGCTGCAAGAGCACGTAATTACATAAACTGCCTTTGCTTGCACTGCTACCGGTGAAAAAATAGTCTCCGTTAATTTCAAAACTGAGTTCACAGCCTTCTTTCAAAGTTAAAGCAACTGTCTGATGGCAAGCATAATTCTGAATCATTAAGAAATCCAAAAAACCTCTTATACCTAACTGAAACTGGCCTGGTCTGGAAAAGTTCATTAATGCAAGACGACAATGCCAAAATTGTTTACACGTACAGAACGGATACGTATTCAGCCTTCAGATACGTGCCTTGCTTAAAGTCGGATCAAGTTAACTTCGTTCGTTTACTGATTGGCCAGTGGGGCAACCCAATTTTCTTCGGGCTGTCACTGATTGTTTCAAAAGATTTTCCCAAAGAATGAAGCAACTAAATTACAACATCTGTAAAGATCTGAGTATATATATGTTGTGACCGGTTTTTAGTCAGCTTAGCTCATTCCAAAACGCAAACTGAAATAAACAGTCCATGTTAAGTTGGTAACCTTTCTCACAAACGAGTCTGGCTACAAATTAATTCAGTGAACCCTCCCATGCGCAGAATTTCAGTCCATAGCAGATTAAATTAATCTTGGCTTGTTCTGAATTTGAAGTATATTGCCGGTAGAGATAATTACCCTGGGGAATTTTTCTGTGGGTGGAGGGATTCTAGCGCGCATTTTGGTCGCAATTACAGGCCGCTAAAGAAAGACTTCTTGCAGGATCCGTCGAGCCGCCGTCCCGCATTCTCGTCGACGTTTGCCGTCACTTGGTCGACCTGTTTTCGCACCGGTATTAGTCATCGAAAACTGTGCCTCAAAGAATTGAAAATCAAATTCTCGCCACATTTGGGGCAAAGATCAAAACGTTGCAAGAGCTGGATATTGGTTAATCAGGACCTCCTGAAAAGCGGCTATGTCTCCCACCGGTCACACTTAGAAACAGCGGTGGTAATTTACTATCGTCGGGGCAATTCGAGTAGGCAACACAGCGAACATCTAATTCAACACAATTGTTGGCTAATTTCTTTGAGGAGAAAAAGCAAAAACGACTGACGGAAAAAACATTAGCCGAGAATCAAACTTTAGCCAACTTTCATTGCACAACTTCCGGGATAAGTAACAGGCCCAAAAATGACCTTTAAAGATCAGGCTCTTTTAAGGCCTCGACTTTGGTCAGCGCCAAGATGCACGAGACAGCGCACGAAATGGCAATCTTCAAGCTGTCGATCCTCCTTGACTCGCCCTTACCTCGGCACAAGTCAAGGTGGCGACAGAGCAACTGACAGCCAGGAACCTTTTTGATAAGGATCAGGCAAAGGACCTCGCTTTTACCTGTTTCATTGGTGCGCGATTGCTATTCCGGTATCGTTCGCAGGGGCAGGTGCAGGAGAGAGGGAGAGAGGGGGGAGGGGGGACGGAACTTGTGTCCGGCACGCCAGGAAGATGATCAAGCATCTTAATCACCACAATCAATCGCCAAGGTCGAGCCCGAGACGTTCTTATCAAGCGCTGTCGCTACTCATTAGGCCGGCCGCGCCAATTACCAGGAGGCGATCGTCAAACAGATACTTTTCTATAGCCATACAGAATAGATTTTGATTCAGCTTTGGCTTGAATCACGGAACTCCCTTTAATAACATGGAAATACGTGGTAGAAACGGGTCTGCTGATGTGAATAAAACAACTAGCTAGAAATTATCAGTCTCTAATAAATTTCTGTACTTTTTGAGGAATCCTTTACGAAAGCATAACAGCAACTCTGATTGTTACAAATAAGCTGCTCCGGGTATAGGGAAGTTCCATTAAGTACCGGTAACAAAACAACACTCTTTATAAACGACAGAGTAAAGCCGTGGTGGTAAGTTTCAACGCCGAGGTGTTATCTCGCAGTCTACAAGCTGGCGCTCTCTGGAGTGACGTCTGTTCCGCGAGTGTTGTAACCGAGACACACCCTGTAACTTGAACACGACTGTAGCGAGCGACTTCCAATAATTCGCCCGGCGGTTTGTTGTCGTACGGGGGGGAAGCTTCTCGAAATGTGCGACTTGCGCACGGCGTGTGACTGGCGTGACATCGCCTATACCCGTGTCCCGCAGTCTCGGTTTCAGTTTTATCTTCCTGAGTACCGTGTCCGGAGAATCTACTCAAGCCTCCGGCCCCCCTTCTTTTTCAGACTCTATCATAAAACAATAACGGTCGGGGCAATGTCTGTCAGAGCGGGAGAAATCTAACCCGCGCCACTCTATTTGGTCTGGAACCCAAAGCCGAATTGATGAAGTCTATACCGCTCCCTGCTGTTTGTGTTGCCACAGGTGCTGAGATTGAATGGCTGTTCGCGGTTTGGTTTGTTGACAGTGTAAACCTCTATTTTGTTTTTATTTTTTTTTAAATTTATTATTATTATTATTATTCTTTTTTGCTTTTTGCCAAAATAAGTTTCAGAAGGTGTGAACCAGATTCCTACACGTCACATTCTTTGTTTCATTTCATCAGGAAATTCGACGAACCACAAATGGACTCCTGACTATGCAATATCAAACCGTATATTAACCGTTAACTGTAGGAAATCACAGATATGTGGAGTTTACATCATTACGCCTCATAAATAAGAGGTATATTCAAAAATTGCATTTAAAAAAAACTAAAAAGTCCTTATTAATTCATGTTTTATGTGACATTTGATACCTAATTCTGTTGATCGGGGAATTCTGCTAACTCGGACCTTGAGGCGAGTTACGAAACATTAAATCATCTTTACTGAAACGTTCCAGATCAATGTTTTCCTTGTACGTTAAAGGTCACGTCTTAAACATAAGAAGGTACGAGGTTAGAAAAGTACATGTCAAATTAACTAATACAGAAACAAATGAACAAAGATACTGAAGAAATTCAGAGCACAATCTAAACTGTAAAAATTTTGATGTGGGGAGTGTTTGTTCGTGAAATATACCGTTTTAATCTCCGTATTGGAAAAAGCATCAGACAAGATAAACAGCGACAGAATTCAGAGCCTACAGTCTTGAGTAAGCCCGGTTTGTACATGTACATTAAATTTAATCATTTCACCATTAACTCAGGTTCCAGAGTGGGGACCGTATTAAATCAAGAACGTTAAAATCTCAAAATACTGGTCGAACAACGTTAATACCTATCCTTAATACAATATATATCAGTGACCGCTAGCAAATCTTTTGAAACAGTGAAAACACCTTTAAAACGTAACCTTGTTCGATTAACAACATACGGCAGGCATTGTAAGATACGCCAAACCTTTGAAGCAAAACATATCTAATTTCGATACTTAAAAAAAAATTAAAACCGTATACTTAGTTATAATTCTTTGATTAACCTTGGTCTCAAGTGAGAAAATATAGATTGAAGTATTTTTCCTCAATTACCTGAAATTGTCCTGAGAGCCGCCAACTCGGGTTTGTTTAATTGGGGAGATTGAAACCCGCGTTTGGGTTATTTTGACAGCCACTCCAGGGAGAATCCATTCAAATCCTATATTCAAAACTAAAATATATACCTCCCCGTGCCAAAACTGAAAGTTGTACCCACCTTTTGTTCCCGTGTTGAACTGCTGATCGCGAATAGCGCATTCGTCCTCTCCCCTACCCATCTCTACAGCCTCCTCAAGTCCACGATCTCAACATCCGGAGTGAAGAGAAGGTAATCCAAGGTTAACTGCGTGGAAAAAGTGCAAAAGTAGAGAGACGAAGAGCATCAAAATACGGCTTGCATTTCGCGTAATTCGAGATCCGCTGTGCAAACAGCGCTCCGAAGTGCAGATGCCGTTAGATACGCGGCGCTGTATTACTGTCCCGCATCAGTCGCTGAATCTGCGAATATGCGGGGCCCGATGGCTATCACGCCCGTATTAAAGGCAGCGGGTGGCTGCAGACGATCTCCGTAATGAGGGGTCTCCTTTGGAATTGTGGGATGCTTCATCCATCACCGTGCCACTCGAACCAGCCGCGCGCAAGATGCCGACACTCGAACTCGTGTCTGTTGCAGATCGCTTTCGTGTTTCCATTCCGCTGGCATAGAGGGGTGTGATCGGGAAAAACGCTGATGGGTGAGATTGCGAGGTTTTTAAGCGGTCACTCGAAGCTGTTTCCCCTACGAGGTGACGGGTGTGATTATCCATGCAGTGGGCTGTCGGGAGAGCACTCCTGACCCCGACAGCCGATAAACGGTCGCGCTGCCGGAGTGACACTTGCGGGAGAGGAGAAAAGTTCAGCTGGACGTACGGTGAAGCACTTTCCCTTTCCTTCGGCTGTCCAAAAATCATTGTTCAAGGTTCACATCCCTATCGTGGTTTTAATTTATAGTTACCAACAATTTTGCAATTTTGTCAATGTTTTTTACATCTTTTTTTTCTCTTGTTTTTTGAAGTTGTACTTATGTATTGAACTAGGCGATGATTTCCGTTTCTCTTCTCGGGGTATAGGCCTATTTAATTTCCTGAAGGTCCATGTATCTAAAATTTTAATTTCCCACGCATAGGGGTTCGTGCAATTACAACATGAGCTGTTTTTATCTGTTTGTATTCATAGCCTGGTTTTATTGGTTGCGAAAGTAGTTTTTATTTATACGGTAATATGCTCCTCTCAAGTTTTATTAAATGTCTTAATGTATTATTGTATGTGGACAAGTCTTTATTTTTGACTATATTAATGTATTTCTTTATTTTCTGTGTATTACTTGTAAACTTGTATAAATTTTGCCAGTGGAGGTTGAATTTGTGTGTTTTTATACAGACAATAAATAGATTATCTTGAACCCTCTCAGAACTTCGAAATCCACACTTGTGTGATAAGTGTGATTGAGTTTTTCACCAAACTCCCTGTGAGCAAAGTGCAGCCAACTATTTATTCGCGGCCCGCACTCTTGAAAAAATGTTTGGTAACTTTTCCCCAGTAATTTTTTTTTACATTTAGCACTCGTTTTCTGTTATGGGTAACAGCAGGTACGTGCACGTTGACCATAATTAACAGTCTGCTCTCTGCCATCAAGCGTTCACTTGAAATAGTCTACACTGTCCAAAAGACGAGTTAATAAATAATTGTAAATTTCTGTGGCTAAGAAATATTACTCGTAAAGAAGAGTTAAAATTAATTGGCCGTTATGGATTTAAGCCCTATTTCAGGAGCGGCAAAAGTAAATTTACTTTCAATAACCAAAGGTAACGCACAGTTCATTTTTAATCACCAAACTTGCAGAACACTTTGTATAACTTCAATATTTGTAACCGCGTATAAACTGTTTGGGAATAAACACTGTAGCCTACAAGGCTCGGGAGTCTGCCAACTTGCAACCCCACAAAGTTTCTGAGCCTCTTCAAAGAGGTGAAAAGCTAGAAACTGGCATCTTGTCATCATTCATGTTAGTGTGGGTATTTTGCGTATGCTTGACAGCCCTTTCTGATCGTTCGCACAGGCAGGCAGACAGAAAACTCATTTGAAGGGACGGATGTCATCCTAATCCGCAGGGAGATAATATTTTGCACTGACGGGCAAGCCTATTAATGCCATCCGTCAAGACAGGCTTTGCAGCTGACACACCCCCCCCTGAATCCTTGGCCGGCTGGCTGACATCAGTCAGTGCAAGGTACAGGAACAGGACGCTCAAGGGAATGTGAGATAAATCTTGCTCTAAAGCATCATTTACTGAAATAACTGACACTTCTATTTGAAATCTGCATGCTATTTACTGACACCTCAGGGGCTTCGATGCAAGTATATCCATGGCTGTGTAAGACTATACAAACACGCACACAATGGAAGGGAATATGGGTAAGCCTATATGTGGATAGCATTTTATCGGATCACTTGTGGCACACAGATCGTCTGCCCGAGGATGGTGTCAGTATTCGCGCGAGAGGTGGGAAATTTGTGCCTACAGCGTTAAACAGAAGTACGTCGCGCCACGAGTAAACTTAGTCGAAAGCGTGATGTGAACTCCAACAGCCAACGGCGTTGGAAATGGCACTGCAATAACCCACTTTCTGAACAACTTTTGAAATTCACATCCGAGACTAAGTTGCGAATTCTACGTCGCACTGATGTAAAGGAGGAGGTGAGGTTGAATTGTTACGAACTGGCTCTAAATAATGTGACTAGCAAGGGTGCAATGTTGATGAGACTGAGGTGGGGATTATGAACGTTTTCATGGATGAGACTGTTCTTTTCGTGAACACTCAATCCGGGGCGTCCATTCTCGGCGCAAAATCAAACTGTACTTTATCCAGCGTGAAGCATCGTCAGAATAATAAATCAAATTGTTCTCATTCCCGTGCTTCAGCGACACCACGAAGTGACACCTAAGCGGACTTGAGTGCTAGCGACGCACGTTTATTTCACCGAATCGAACAATGTTCATTTCCACAGAGTAGCATCCATATTAATATCACCAATTTACGGGGTTTTTTTTATTTCTCTGTAATTCCAAGAAAACGCGATTTAATTACATTTCTGTCAAACATTTTCGTAAAAAGTTTCATCTAAATCACACTTTTGTGGCCTTGTAGAAACCAAAATCGCTCGCGTCAATGTCCGATCTGCGCCCGCACAATAGGGTGTTATTTTGTGAACCCAAAATTTGTCCATTTGTCAGCGGTTTAACAGTAATATCATACTGAACTTGAGCGTTATTTCGCGGTGTCGGTTACGAATGGAGTGAACGCACTGCAGTCTAAACAAGCAGAACAAACTCCATTACTTTTTAACGGTGGAGAACAATCAACGGCTACATTATTGTCCCGCTACAAAATCACACACTTCCAAATATTTCGATTTAATGCCTAACGTAGGAGGAAGAGAAAACGATGGGTCTTGAAATGGAATAAGAATTCGTCGCGAGACGCACGCTTGCTGGATTGGGCTTCGCCTCTACATGTTGTAGCGCCGCGGGCGTTCACTCAAAATAGCTAGCTTAAATTACGGCAGGGAAGCTCGTGTCTTGCAATGGGAATGGGCAACCGCCGCAAACTGGATGCTTTTATCTAAGAATCAGGGCTGCATTCAGACCCCAGTGGAAATGAGTTTCAGAACTTCGCCAGTCCAACGTGATGCAATTGAAACTGCCGCGAACGCCAGGGGCGGGCGTCTTCCTCTTCGTTCTGTCCGGAGAGTGGGAGGCTAGGGACGGGTGCGGGGGTTGACTGAACTCCCCACCGAGCGAGACGCGGACTGCCGAGAAGTTTTACAGCGGTCGCTCCAGCTGCAAGCCTCGGGACGGAGGAGTGTGTGCGCCCTCATCTACCCCGACGGCCTGATGACACGGAGGCCGCGGCAATGCATTGTCCCATGTGTTCCAACCCTTCACGACTACACGGAGAGCGCATAGTTAGGACCCCGGATTTCTTTCCTTTTTTTTTAATCAGAACGTCCATGTTCCCACAATGTTGCACTGAGACGCGTCAAAGGAATGCGTTGCATAAAGTCAGGATGCCCAAGGTCTTTTTTTTTCATTCTCCAGGCGAACGAGAAAGCAAAACGAATTCGACGTCGCGAAAGATTTTCCAACGAAGTCCACTCAAGTTGAAAATATGTTAAACCTTGGCGGCATCCGTAAATTATTTGACTTGAAGTCACAACTTCGGCTCCATATTTGCGTCCGGGCCAAGTGCAAATACCTTAACGCAGGGTGGATAGCAGCACCAGTCTTACCAAAATAGAGACTATTCAAGTTGAAGCTGCTAACAAAGGTTTCAAACCAAAAGCTGGCGCTATTACAATCTATGTAAAAACAAAGTATTTAGTCTGGTGTTAATATCTAGAAACTCCTAAAACCGATTTGTCCAGAGTGGTTATTCTGGCGCGAAGTATACTGTCAAACTTAGCGGCTTGTGCACGTCATTCATGGAGCTGCATGAAGTGCAAGTGGGAACAGTAACCAGACAAGTTGGCAATGTCTATTTTGTACAGAGTGGCGTAGATTCATCCTGGGATTTGTTTTCTTTTAACATTCGAACATTTCCTTTCCTGAGTTATGGAATGGTCCCATTCACAAAAATATGGCCCTGAGTGTATCGGATGGACTGCTGTCGCTGTAACAGCCAGTGTCGTTGTGGACTTGGACTGGAAACAAATGGTTAGCATTTTTTCAGAGTGAAATTCTTATCCTTTCGCAAATTTGTCTTCTTTGGATAGGAATGTCCTAGCTGATCGTTATCCCTAGTTTTTTTTCTTTAATGTTATTCTAACCTGCGTGTTGTAGCACGTAGCGTTAAATTAAGGCAATCAATAAAACACTCTTCCTCCTGGAAACACATGAAACTAAAATCTCAAAAAAAAGTAATCTTAGTGCTGTAAACACTTCTGATTATACTTCAGTGACAGAGAAGCCGAAATTTCAGAATCCTTGGAATGTCAGTTATTATACAATATAAATTCCTGTGCAATCTTCCAACTCGCTCCAGCGAGCACTATGGCTATTATCCTTGCTGCGTGCTTCCCGCTCTGTTGCATCGATGGCTTGATGGGTTAACAGAGGCGAGGATGGCCGCTTCCGTGTCCAGCACTCGGTCAGGCTGTCACTTCAAGAGCAGAGTGGGCCTGCACCTTACAATCTTCACCGATTAGCGGAAGTGACTAGTCGGCGAGAGCGAGGCTTTTCGCATCCGGCAGAGCTGTTGGAAGATGGGAAGAGGGGGTCGGACGTCGGAGGCAACAACCCTTGGT